TCCGCACCCGCCAGCCCCGGGCTCGCCTCCACTCTCCCCAGCTTTGCTCTCCGAGGCAGATGCTGGGCTCTGCAACACAGTCCTGAGTCTTCTCGAAGAAACAGATCCGTGACAAGTCTGGTCTTGTCACCCTGCAGCCTCACCCCAGCCCCCGTGAGAACTCCTCGGGTGTGCTTGGATGCAGTTCAAATCCCACCTGCTGCTCTGTGAGCCCTGATTCTGGCCAACAGGATTCAAACTCCCTACGTGGGGCACTCGTTTCTGGGCGTTTCTCAGACACCCGTCCCCGCTTCCGCCCTCACACCCCCATCTGTCTGCACTGTGGACCGCTTTCCGTCTCTGTGCCAGGCCTAAAACCCCTCGTGGCTTCCCTTTGTTCTCAGGATCAAATCTTTGTCGTCAGCGTGGCATTCAGGGCTCTGCCTTCCTAGAGAATCCAACAGAGGAGAGAATAAGAACGAGGTGGCCAGGTGGAGGGGACTGGGGGATCATTTGCCTACAACAACATAAAATGTGAGGGAACGTTGTTTGAGGGTCCATTTTCAGGGCTCCTGTTTACATGTGGGGTGTATTCCGGAAATTCCCCAGACGGAGGGCCCTGGGTGGGCTGAATGTAGCTGGTAGGGCTGGTGGTTCCCAGACTTGGACATTCACTGGGGTGTAGATTTCCTTTTTCTGTTTTTCTCCTTCCTTCCTTCCTTCCTTCCTTCCTTCCTTCCTTCCTTCCTTCCTTCCTTCCTTCCTTCCTCCCAATTTGGGGACAGACAGGGTTGCCAACTTTTTATTTTGCAAAGTAAGCACCAGAAACAAAGCACTAGCATCTCTTCATGAAATAAAGGACTTTTGTATACCACACAGAAATCCACGATTTCAGAGTAAAGGTCAGTACTCTAACTTAACGGGGTGGGGTGTGGGGGGGAATCTTGCCACAGCAACCTCATTTTTTTTATTTCGCCTGGGACTGGTGAAGACTTGCGTGTGCTGTCAGACATCTGGGGAGCTGCCCACGGGGCTGCCCTCCCCGCAGCTAGCTGTTTGCATTCCCCATTGATATGCAAGGACTCTTTGTCTGCCCCGCAGGGAGTGGGAGGGCAGAGTGTGGCGTCCCTTTGCCACCTGCTCTGGAGCCAGGCCCTACAGACCGGCCTGCTCTGAGGGATTAGAGCCCAGGGCTGTGGGAGGAGAGAGGAAGCCATGGAAGGTTTGAGCCTGAGCCCAGCTGAGCTGCCTTGGGTCCCAGGGACCAAAGGGTGAGCTTGAGTTGGGGCGACCACTTTGTCCTTGCCCCTGCGACTATGTGAACTCCTGCTCCACTCTGGTGCCCCAGAGATCAGTGTGTGTGTGTGTGTGTGTGTGTGTGTGTGTGTGTTTTGGGGGGTTGGTACCAGGAAATGGTGCTCCTGCCATGGACAGTGGTATGTGCCAGATGGGTGCCTTCACCAGGGGTGGAGGTGGTGGCAAGGCCATTCCAGTGGCCCTGGTGAACAGGTTCCACCAGGTGGGGTTGATTTTGGCCATCCATGGGGGAGGCCCCCTTGGGGGCTTTTGCAAGGAGGGGTTTGTGGCGCTTGGGAGCAAGAACAGGAACTCTGCACCAGTGATAGCGATGTAAGAGCTCTTTTGGAAGTTAGAACACATCTTCCCAAGGATATGGTGTGCAATGAGGTTGTGGGGGGCGCAGACGGTTGGGAAGTGGTGGAATGACAGGCTAGTGTCAGCTGTCCCGGCCCCACTTGTGGCCTCTCTCGTTCCCCCAGACCAGCCTGGTGGCCATCTGTCCACGCACACTTTTGTGCCTGGGTGAGAGCTGTGGAAGGGTGAGCATTTCAGGAGAAGAGCTTGTCAGGCTTTCCAACTGGTGACAGTTTTAAGGATATAAGAAGTTTGGGAAGGGGTAAAGAGTAGTAGGAGGGTGGAGTCAAGGGGCTGGTTTGGAGACGAGGCTGGCTTGGCCAGGAGATGGTCTCAGCAGCCACGTGCCATGGTAGGTGGGAGCGGATGTCCGCATATATGGTACGAGGTGGTGGGTGTGCAGACTCATGGTGTCTAAGTGTTCAATATCCTGTACATAAATCAGCTCCATGTTCAATTGCAATGCAATGGAGTAGCAGCTACCTGACTGAGAGGCTCACCAAATTCCAGGCGGGACCCCAGCCTGGCAGGATCAGGGCCTCGGTGACATCAGCCCTCTCAGACTCACCCTCATCTAACCAAACCAGATCCCAGATGAGTCATTTTAATAGGGAGAGTTATGTGATAGAATAACTGACCTCAGACACTTGCAGTATTTTGATTAATGGCTTTTTATTTTTTTGAGTGTGTGTCTTTTGGCACATGGTAAACATCATTCTTTTCTGTTGGTTCTTATTCCTGTGTCATCTCCTGTGCTCACCCCGTTTTGGAGAAGCACACTCTTTAGGACCTACACCATCATATATTAATATTCATCCTTAGGGTGCCTGGGTGGCTGAGTGGTTGAGTGTCTGCCTTGGGCTCAGGGCGTGATCCTGGGGTCCTGGGATGGAGTTCCACATTGGGCTCCCTGCAGGGAGCCTGCTTCTCCCTCTGCCTATGCCTTTCTTTGACTCTCGTGAATAAATAAAATCTTAAAAAAATATATTCCTCCTCGCTATAGCTCAATCTACTAGAATGGAGCCTGGCAAACTTTTCCTGTAAAGGGATGCGTGGAAGAGATTTTGGGCTTTGCAGGATCCATGGTCTCTTTTGCAATGAGTAGACTCTGGTGTCGTAGCACAGGAGCAGCCATAGACAATACAGAAATGGGTGGCTGTGGCTGTTGCCACAAACTTATGGACCCTGACATTTGCATGCTGGGTAATTTTCCCGTGTCACAAAATAACCTTCTTTTGATCTTTTCAACCATCAAAAGACACAAAAGCCACTCCTACTTTGCAGTCCATACAGATAGGCAGGTGGGCTGGATTTGGGTCACAACTACCCCTGAGCTGGAGAATAGTTTTGCTGCATGTTACACCGTGGCCAGTGTCTTGCTGGTGGGACTTGGGCATCTCCTCACCTCCTCATGCCTCCGCAGGGGCTCCCCAGCATATACTGCCTTCCTGGTATGGATGGGAACACTGAGGCCAAGGCACAAGGGAATGTCCTAGAATATCACTGAGTTGGTGGGAAAGGTGGGGGCATACCTGCAGCCTGGAGTACACAGCAACCGTTCAACCTCGCAGTAGCCAGGATTTCTTTAGGTGTTACAAGACTGGCAAGAACGCCTCTCTGTGCCATGTCTCAGGTCCCCCACTTTCCCCCGTAGCAATAAATCCTCAGCACAACCTTCTGGGGTCCAGCCAGGATCTCCACCCTGGGTGGCTCCAAAGCGCATGTTCTTAGCCATTCACTCACTGGGGTTCCTAGGGGTCCTCTTGCGTCCTTGACACTGTAGGACTGTAGCTGGTTAACTCCAGAAATCTCCGTTTTGCTCTTTTCCCCTCATTGATCACTGAGGTGGTACAGGAAGTTGTCAGAAAGACAAAGAAGGATAAAATGCTTGGACTGAACCGCGAATAGTGCGTTCAGCAACTCCTAGGTATTTCCCTTAATTCTGCAGGTAGTTAGTGTCACAGGATAAGTAACTGCCTGAGAATCGGAACACTCACTACCCCCATTAAAGGTTTTGTTTTTCCAGCCCCAGGATGCAGAGCAACGGAGGCTGGAAGTCACGGGGAAAGATGTCGGCTCTAAGTCAGGGAGACCCCCGCCCCCCTGGTACGGCTCACTCCGGGGGGCGGGGGCCACCGGTGCGGGAGGCGGGGGCTCTGGAGGTGCTGGTGGTGCAGATGGGAGTTGGGGCACACCGAGGGGGGGTGGCGGTAGCCGCCCTCTAAGGACGATGGGGCTCAGGGCAGCCTTTGCCAAATAATGGGGGGGGAGTAGCAGCCGCCCCCGAAAGGAGGACGTGGCCCACCTCGCCGAGGGATGGCAGGGGCTGGCTCGACGCCGCCGCTCTGCCACTCTGGCGAGCAGTGGAGCTTCTCTTTGTCCTGGAAAGCTGGCTGCAGCTGGAGCCCTCCTCGAGGGCGTTCACGTCAAAGGCTGCGGCGGGCATTTTGCTGTTCAGGGCAGTGTTGGAATCTGATTTCACCCAACCCTGGAGATGGACTCCGTTTGCGGGGGTTCATGGGAAAGGACCGCAGCGCGTCTGTCGATCATTGAGCACGTTTTCGACTCTGCAGATGTGAACTTGCGCTTTCAGCGCATTCATCAAAGCCTCCCGGGAGCTGACCCTGTGTCTGCCGCCCCCGGCCCCCCGCCCGCGGCGCTGCGCCTCCAGGCCGCCCCCCCCCCCCGCCTCGCCGGCCCCGACGCCCCGGCCTCGGGCTCATTTCCTCGAGACGTGCTGCTGTTTGCCAACAGCGGGCAGCCACGAAAACGGCCCTTTTCTTTCATCTCCGGACGGGGCTCCACTAGTTTCCTGCAGGGATCCGCGAGTGGGCGGGCAGCCAGCCGGGGGAAAAGCAAGCTCAGCCACAGCGGCTGGGGCAAGGGCACGGGTGCTGCATCCCGGAGCCGCGGCCGGAGGGGCTCCCGCGGAACAGCCTTCTGCCGGGAGGACGCCAAGTCCAGAAGGGGAGGAGCCCCGTCCAAGGTCACCCGGCTGGCAGAGCGCATCTGGCGTGTGCGCCGCCTCGGGTCCGGCCGCGCGCCGGGAGGAGTGTGGCGCGCCGAGTGGCGATCGCCGCACGCCCTGGCCGCCAGCCCGCGCCTCGGGCTCCTCGGTTGACACACTGCTCCGGGCCCGCAGGCTCGCCCCTCGAGAACTGGGGCGGGGGCGGGGGACGGGGCCTGCGGGGGCCCCCGGCGACGCGCTCGCGCTCGCCCCCGCCGCAACCAGGCCGCCCCACCCTCCGGGCGCCCGCGGGCCCCGCCCCTCGCGCGCCGGCCCGCCCCCCGGCCGCGGCCCCGCCCCCGGCCTCGGCCCCGCCCCCCGAGGCTGCGGGGCTCGCTCCGCCCCTCGCGCCACAGTCGCGGCCCCGCCCCGCCTCACCTGGCCCCGCCGGCGCGCCCCTCCCCCGCTCCCCGGGCTGCGCCGCGCGCGCCGGCTCTGGGCGGGGCCCTGCAGTGGCGGCGGGGTCCTCCTCCTGCTGCTCCGGCTCCTCTGTGCGCGCGCCTCCCCGACCTCCCCCTCGGGCGCTCGCGCAAACCGCGCTCCTCCGCGGCCCTCCGCCCGCTCCCAGCCATGGTGCTCTGGCGCTCGGCGGTCCTCATCTGCCTCGCTTTCTCCTTGGCCGCTCTGGTCCAGAGAGGTAAGGCGGGCGGGGGGCGCGCGGGGACCCCGCCTTGTGGGCCCGCGGGGCGGGGGCTCGGCGCCCCGCGGGCCCGTGGTGCGCATGAGCGGCCCGGCCCCCGCCTCGCGGGCCTGCGGCGGAGACTGCGGGCGGGTGGGCGGGGCTGTGCGGGCGGTGGGGGCGCGAGCCCGGGGCCCGCGGGGACTGACCTTGCCGCGATCGGGGTGGTCGGAGGGGGTGCCGGGACCCCTCCTGGTGCTGGGCTACAGACCCCGGGATATCCCCCCCCCTTAAAATCCTGAACTAGCTGTCACCACCGGTGACAACAGCTGTCCCCAGGAGATCGCTGTTGGGAAAGCCTCGTTGAGAGCGCACTCCTTGCCTTCCGGGGGCTTCGCAAAATGTGTTTTGAGGTCACCTGCAGCAGAAGCACCTGGGGAGCTTCCTGGGCGCGTGCCCCCTGCCTTTGTCAGGCTGTCTGCGGGGACGGGGTGGGGGCGGGGTGCAGCGATGTGTGGTCGGTCTCACCGCTCCCCGGGGGCTTCTGGTACCCGCCCCAGCTTTCTAGCCATTGGCGATGTTTGCCAAGGAGGTGGAGAGCGAAACGCTGTGGAATCAGGGGGGCAGGTTTCCTAGACCCTCACTACTGCGAGTGTGGTCTAGGCCCCTCCTTGGCATCACCTGGGACTTGTAAGGAATGCGGCATCTCCGGCCCCGCCCCTGACCTACTGAGTCAGATTCCGCATCTTAACTAGGACCCCGGCTGATTCGCAGGCACACGGAAGTTTGAGAGGCATCTTAGAATAAATGCAGCGCGTGGTTAAAAATAGGACCTCCAATGTGTACAGATAGAATCTTCTTACACTTATTTATATCCCATCTCCACATCAGAAAAAGGTCTGAGGAAAACACTGCAGTTGAGCACAGGGTTGTGCTGAGCTCCCTGACAAGGCTGGCAAATTCAGCTCATGAAAAACATGAGCTCAGCAAAAATAAAAAAACAAAAACAAAGACTTTGTCCTTGCAGGGGGTGCTGGTGAGATTTATGTTGCAGTATAGGGAGCACTGGAAAACAGTAGCCAGTCTAAGGCAGTTTTGCAGAAGATGCAGAAAGTGTTTCTCATGTGGGCAGCCATCCTGGACTTGATACAAGAAGAGCCATTCAGTGTTCTTCAGAGGTGTCAGGCTCTGTTCCAGACGCTGATGATGCGGCAGTGAACAAAGCTAAGACTCTGTCTTCATGGAGCTAACTTCCTCATGGGGGGAGAAGACAGGCACAAACATCCCAATCTATGTTGTCAGTGCTCTGAAGAAAAATAAAGCAAGTCACAGGGTTGGTGAATTTTCTGGTTCATGTTTCTTCTCTGGGGTTAACCTTTTAATTCTGTTACAATGCATCTGTGGGAAAGACTGTCACCTGGTTGGCCCCCATCTAAGGATAGGGAAATCTGGCAAGTGGAAGCACAGAGAAGTGAGAGAAATGATACTCCCTTCAAGGCTACCTTCTGGAAGGTCTTCAACATGGTATGTGCATTGAGAAAGGGAGGAATACAAATGAACAGGTCTCAGATTTTCACCCTCACGTGTCATAGGAGGTGATTTAGGAGGTGGTGGAGGAAACGGAATCATTTTCCAGATGAAACGGAGGCACAGAGGTGTGAGGTGACTTGCCTCAGGTGGCAGAGCTGAGATTTGACCCCAGGCTTGTCGGATTCCGCAGTCCTTGCTCATAAGCACCTGGAGGCTGCGCTCCTGCCTTGGGAGATTTCTCTGAACCTTGCTTGGTTTGCTCGCCCTGTTTATGCCTAACAACTCTCAGGCGTCTTGAGGGGACCCGGAGCACGTCACTGTCAGATCTGGGTGCCAGGAACATCGCAGATCTGATTTTTGGTTGCCTCAGCAGTTTCGCTGATTAGGTATTAATGACAGGTCCCTGGCCACATAGCTAGGAAGAGATGGAACCAGGATCCCACCCAGCGAACACTGCTACCTAGTGATCTTTTTACTTGTAATTAAGAGAACTGAACTGGAAGAAGCTTTTGCTTCAACGAGGGGAACTGCTTTGTGGCTCTTTTGTGCAAAATAAGATGACAGATATGGGCTTTGAATTGCTGGTCTCCGGACAGTTACAGTTTGCTGCATCAAAATGAACAAACACAAAGCAGGGGCTTAGTTAGGCATCTGCTGCCTCTCCTGGAGCCCCACGGTGGTGGACTGGGTGGGCCTAAGAGCCACTTTGGTCCTGGTCCTGGGTAGATGCACAGCCGAGAAAGACCAGCAGCCCTCAGAAAGCACATAGAACCTCGAAGCAGGACTCATTCGTGAAATCCCTTCAGGCTCTGGCAAGTTGAGACAGACTTCAGGTTTCTAGGAGTTTAAAAGGATAGTTACCAGGTCACTCCTGTTCTCATTTTGGATGACTTTTTAGTCCAATGTGGATTTTCCTAGCTCTGAAAAATCCTCGGAGGACAAATGTTGCCTGTAGGCACCTACAGAAATAGGAAGCTGATCTTTTGTGCCATGGGGAGGAGAGTCACAGTGGTGCAGGTGGGCAGTAATGCTAATACAATTTCCATCTTCTGAATGCCTTCCGCGCACCGGGTCTTCAGCACGCCACACATATTTACCCCTCATAACCACCCTGAAAGGTTGGCACCATGACCCATTGCCTTTCCTTATGTCCGTAATGGACATTTGCATATGGCCTTGAAAAGTGGTGGGGCGACTGGGTGGCTCAGTTGCTTGAGCGTCGGACTCTTGGTTTCAGCTCGGGTTGTGATCTCAGGGTTGTGAGATCGAGCCCTGCGTCGGGCTCAGCACGGAGTCAGCTTGGGATTCTCCCTCTGCCCCTCCCCGCCTTGCACGTGTGCACACGCTCTCCCTCTCTCTGAAATAAATAAATAAATAAAATCTTGAAAATAAAAAAGTAACACGGTGGTAACCCATTTTTCCAGATGAAAAATGAATAGCCTGGCGAGGTTTCAGACTTGAACTCAGGTTTGTCTGAGTAACCAAAGCAGAGGTCACGAAGGTAGATACCTCCAGGGATGGGACAGGTCATAGAAGTGTGGAAAGTGGCCAAGAATCAGTGTGATTGATGGGTGTGTGGGCGAGTTGCCTGCTGCTGAGTACCTGTTCCCTTGAAGTGAAGTAGCCCAGCTGACAGAGGGAGAGTGCAGGCTGTGGAGCAAGCTTGCCCAGCACTACTGTGACCTGGGGTGAGTCACTTAACTGCTCTGTGCCTCAGTTTCCTCATTTGTAAAAGGGGGATAACCACACCATCCCCTGCATGGAGTTGTCATGAGGACTGAATACAGATGGATAAAGTGCTTAGCACAGCACCTGGCTCTCAGTGAGCTCTGTTGGTGATTATTATGCACATTACCCAAAACATTCCAAGCCACGTTTTAAAAATACACCGTGCAAACCTTGAAAATTATATGGTGAGTGAAATAAGCCAGACACAAAAGCCCACATATTATCCCATTTATATGAAATGTCCAGAGTTGGCAAATCCATAGAGGACAAAAAGTAGATGAGTGGTTGCCAGGGGGTGGGGCCAGGGAATTGGGGGATGGGGAGTAGTAGGCTCATATTTCCTAGTAGGCTCAGTTTCCTTTTGGGAAAGAACATGAAAATGTTCTGGAATTAGGTAGAGGTGATGGTGGCCCAACCTTGTGAATGTACTGAGAACCATTGAATTGTACGCTTTTAAAGGGTGAGTTGTATGGTGCATGAATTGTACCTCCATTTGAAAAAAAAAATCTCTGAAGTTCAAGCAGAACAAATGAGAGTGGAGGCAGCCTGTGATCCCTGGGGCTTGGTCGGGTAGGGAAGCCAGGGGAGCAGAGTGGCCCCAAGTGCTGGTGGTGCTGGGATCCAGGCAGAAGCCCTGTGGGCCTACTGGGGATATTGGGTGTGAGCCAGACAGGCCGCAGGGGCATGTGCAGGGTTGGCCCAGTGCCACATAGCCCCCCTACCCCCAAGTCTGGGAATGGTCCCCTGGGAAGATGCATCCTGCATGGGGGACTTCCCTTTCCTGGATGGCTCAGGGTTGCCATCATGTGCACCAGTCGTTGCATTGGACAGGGTCTGGGGATAATTTGCCTTTTAGTGTCATATGTTTTGATTGGTTTTTGGTCCCTTCCTTGCTGTCACAGGTCATGTCCCCATCCCCTCCATCATTTTGGACACCAGGTAACTAAAACATGTTTGTTTAATGCCCCTCTCCCACCTCCCTTCTCCTCCCTTCTCCCCCGCACCCTGAAATCACCCAAGAGCCAGCCTAAGCAGGAACTGAGGAAGGGCCTGAAGCTACCTTCAGCAGAGATGAGGATGAGGAGGCCTTTTGGCTGCTCAGAGGGGGGTGTGGGGAAGACCTGGTTCTGATTCTGGTGAGTTCAGGAAAGATACCTTCCAGGTGCCCCATCTTTCTGGGTTCTTCCACCACTCGGTGTTGGTGCTTTTCCTGCTGTGCATCCACTCCTACTCTTTGCACTTGGCACGGCATCCTCTGCTGCTCTCGGGGCGCTTGGGGAGGCCTGGCTGCAGGGGGTCCTGTCTCCCCACCCAGACTTGGCTCTCCCTGAGTCTTGCTCTTAAGTTCGCTGATTGGTCAGTGCTGGTTCGCATGTAAAAGCACAAAGTCATCCTAAACGTGTCCCAACTGAAACGTGTGGGAAATACTTTGATGAAGGTAAGTGTTCCAGACGGAGGTGGGTGGGAAGCTGCGGTAGGCTCCCACAGATGTCCGTGGCCGAATCTCTACACCTGAGACTGTTAGGTTACACGTGACAGAGAATTAAGGTAGCTAATCAGCTGCATTTAGATAAGATTCTCCTGGGTCATCGTGGCCAGTTGAAAGACCAGGATCCTTTAAATATGGAAAATGGAGATAAAGGAGTCAGAGCTAGTCAGCGAGGTGATACAAGATTGGACCCAAAGATGGAAGGGCCGGCAACCAAGGAATGCACACACAGTTTCGAGAAGCTTCCAGAAGGAATGTAGCCCCGCTGACA